ATTATTCCTCTCAAGTTCCATTGATTTCAGTTTTTAACATAAATTTACAATTGCCAAAAGTCCATACCTAAACTCTCAAAAGAGACACTTCAAAATTTGTGTCCTGTGGGTTGACTTGATTTTTATTATTTATTTTAGTTAACCAAAAACAAATTTGAAAAATAGGAAGCCTTGTAAGGCAGCCCTGAAAGAATAGTGCTCTATTAAGAAAATCAATTCTGTAGGGGAGGGAAAAGATGCAACAAACCCTCACCCAAGAATGTAGTGATAGCAGCCACTGTCTTCTGATACTGTGTGTTAATTATGGCTGTAAGCACTCCATCATTTAAATCCTAATTAAAATCTTATTAAAAATAAAAGCTATCCATTATTGTTCTCGTCTCATTTAAAGCTGTTTTAGGGTTAACGATTTGGGACTTTCATGCCACTTGGTAACTGACACTTGAGCCCAATTTAACTGAAAACCTTATTGCTTTGATTACAGAGTGATGAACAAAGTTGAATGAATAAACTAACGCCCAACTTCTTCTACTGCAATCACTTTGGGGTGAGATAGAGTATTTTGTTTTTTTTTTTACCCATCATATGTCTAGACTGTATTCTCGTGAGTCACATGACATCATGCAAATAAACTTAAGTTCAGTGCTTACTTAAAAACAATGCATAGAAAGATTTATTATGCATTCAGTTTTCCTGAATTTAGAATTTAAGGTTCTTCCCAAAGAAAGGAATGAAGGATGCAACAAGAACATTGTCTTTTACCAACAGAAAAGCATTAAGATGAATCACTAAGAAATGGCCCCGAGCACCATTTTTTTGGTTCTGCTCTTTCATTATCACTCTTCTGAGTACACAGAAGCACTGTTGAAGGCAGATGCAAATCAGACTTAGAGTTTAACTAAACTACAGCCTTGCTTGCAGTGGCCACCTGAGAAAGCTTTGCACATGGCCATGCAAGGAGGTCCTGTCATATGCTAAGGCCAAGTAGGCATCAGACTTTTAAACTTATATGTTTCATCTTACGTATGTAAAATCATATTCTTGTGTGTGTGAGTGTGTGCATTTGCATGTGTGTATGTGTGTAAGAGCATGCACACACACACGTGTACTCACTCATGTCATATAGCCCTGATGAAACTGCAAGGAAGATTAGTTAAGTAGATTTGCTTTCAAATTCTCAAATATGCAAATGATATGTGTTAGAAAATGATATTCTAAATTTTCTAATCTTATTTGGCTATCTTTTATTTTTAAATATAATTTTCTGTTAATTTTTTACCATCTCCTTGATTTGAAGACAAACAGTATATTGAAGCCTTTTCTCTCCTTACAGTCTTTACTGAGGTCCAATGTGGAGGTGTCTCTTGAAGAAGATAGACTTGGACAACCTTAGAACCTTGACTATGAGATACAACCACACCACGCATCTTCCAGGATTGAGGACTCTATGATGTTCTCACTCAAGATGCTATCAATAACACTTGAGCCAAAAATTAAGGTCATACAAAAGGATACCCAAAATCTACCACAGGCAATCCCACAAAGCTTTGAGCTGCAGCTCTTCAAGAGGGCACATTTGTGAGAGGAAGGAGGTGACTGATGTGGAGACCACAGAATTCCCCTTCTGTAAACAGAGGTAGGGGTAAGAATTTTTATTTGGTTTTCTTAGTTGTCAGTCAGTCAGGACCGGAGAAGCAGGACACTGGTGCTTCATGTTCCCTTCTCTACACCATGTGACTTGGTATTAAAGAAACAGGACTGAGTTTTAGGATCGCCCTTTACTAGCTCATTTCCTCTGGGATTATCTTTCTGCTTTCATCACTCAGATGAAATAAACCAATGTACAGAAAATGTTTGGGAAATTATAAACAACCAAATAAGAAATTTGGGGCTTATTTTAACATTTTTATTCATTATTCTAATATGGTCCATAAAAAGAATCATCCATGATTCACAATAAACATGAAGAATTCAGTGGGAAGAAAGAATAAGTATCTGTTTGATTCCACAGAGGACTTAAGCATCTCAAACATAGCCCAATACAGCAGAAAGTAGAGTAAGTATATGGAAATAATAGGGAACAGTTGGTCTACAAACATCAGCACTATATGCTAAGTGATAGTGTTATCGTGCAAGCTCCTCTAAAAGAAAGAGGCGGTAGAAAGATTAAAGTATACTGATGGTGAGAGTGAAAATTTTAAAGCTGGTTGTTCATTGGTGGTCTCGTTTTGTCCCCATCTCAGCTAAGACTCCATGACAATTATGCTAGCATGTACCTCTTCCTAAACATGTGAGTAAAACAATGGTTCTCAGCTGAAAGTCGTCTCCTCTAGGAGACACTGGAAATGTTTATAGATATTTTAAGTTGCCACAACAGGGTGGAGTCATACTGTCATCCATTGGGTAGAGGCCACAACTCAGCTGAAGATTCTATAGTGCATGACACAGTTCTCTCCTTATTCCTGAGGACCAATGACCACAACCAAAATATTTACAGTACGAGGACAAGAAACTCTGGACTATACACATGTCCCAAATGATTGGTAATCATTGAAATCAATAAAAGGATAATGCTAATAAGAGCCACCAAGGAAACACATTTTGTAAGATTTGTCTGAATAAATGGGATGATTATTTTGGTGACATAGAGAACTGGGCAAAGCTGAGCAGTTAGTGCTCTCAGGACTGGCTGATTTGGGTGTACCAATTTTCCACCTAAACACTATAAGATACTACTCCTGCTCCTTCGTTCTGGCTTGACACCTTCTGCTTTTCCCCATGCTTCTCCTTAGGCAGTCTAAGTCTAAGGTGTAGACATAAAGAGCCCAGGAAGGTGGGATGTCATAGCTACAAGTATTCATTTGCTTTTCAATCTTTGAGTTTGTTTCTTTACTCCTGAGATTGGTTGAGGAAGATTTCTAAGTGATGTCAATTGCTTTGTGGTTTCTTATAATGCTATTATTTTGTTTGAAGTAGAAATTGAATATAAGTGAACCAAGAAAATGTATGCCACTGCAGAAAGGTATGAATTTTCTCTGCATTTATCCACATAAGCTTTTCATATGTACTCAGACATGGAGTAACTCCAAGTGAGGTTTTTAAAGGGATCTGATATTTACTTCAGGAGAGAAAATATAAGTCAAGTTCAGTCAAAAGTAAAGTGCAACAAATGTGAAACATGTAAAACCCTCAGTTTCTTCTTTTGTCCTTCATATATGTTTCATGGAAAAACACGACATGATAACATGCTGGCCCTGGGAACCTACCTTGATTAGTCATAGTAATGAGCAAATATACCCCCAGCACGCCTGCAGCCACTTCCTTCCTAACATAGAGTAACCTAGTCCAGCCCTGAGCCCTGCTCAGCCTCAGCACCAACTGCAGCACTTCTATCAGGGGAAACCAGAAAAGGAATCTGATGGCTATCAGCTGTGCCCCACAGATGCCAGGAACTGTGGCCCCAACTTTCTGGGTCACCATAATTTCCTGTTGACTTGGTTTAGACATTAAGTCTATTAAAACTGTCTAACTATCTCAGTGAAAAAGGAAGGCCCAGTGTTTCAGTTGCATACACTTCCTATAACATTGGCTTCTAGTAGAGAGGTGTGGAGAAGGAACATAGGGCAATGTATATATTTTCAGATCTCACAATATATAATATGTATTTGAGCTACTTAGAATCTAACTCAGATTGTTAGTTGGGGTCAGCATTGGACCTACTCAGACCCCCTGGACGTGAGTCTCAATTAGAAGGCCTGGGCAGTCTAACGGACCTCTGACAGTGGAACCAGGATGTATTCCTGGTGCCCAAAAGGACTTTGGGAGCACATTCCCAATGGTGAGATACTCCCTTAGCCTAGAGGCAGGAGGGAGGGCCTGGTCCCTACTCCAAATGACTTGACAAATGTTGTTGATCCCTCCTGGAAGGCATCACCTTCCCTGTGGAGTGAGGGGAAGGATGGGATGGGAGGGGGTTAGGAGACATGGAAGGTAGGGAGGGAGAGGGAACTGGGATCTATATGTAAAATAAGAAAAAAATAACAATAATACAAAATAATCTAACTCAATCAACAGATTACTATACTCAGACCAACTACAGAAGCATAACTACTTTTGATCTATTGTACAACAGAAGAAAGTAAAGCTTAGATAATTAAAGCCTAATGATAAGCAAAGATAAGAAGCCCCGTTTTCTGAACTAAACCATGAGGCCATATTAAGTGTAAGGACTACAATTCTGAAAGTGAGTGCTAGGATGTCTGCAGTACATTGAGAGGAAGAATCCTTTACTGGGAGTTCAGGCAAGGAAAATTTTCAGGATGATGCCATCAAAAACCAAGCGGGACTACTGTGACCATTAGATGAACCCACAGCCTTGTATGCTTGTAAAGGACAAGAGAGAGCTGGTGAGACAGTCATTAATACCATGTGTAAGTTCTCTGCTGGTGCTTTCAATCTTTTGCATATATTAGTTCCTTTAAGCCACACCACCTAAAATACCTATTTCTCTTTTCTCAGCAACTGTATCCGATCAGAAAATAAGTGAAACACTAAGTGGCGGTTACTGAGATGTTTCATCTCAGAGGGCATAAAAGAATTAATTATTTCCATTCCTCTATGCCTGGCTCACAATTTGTTTAGTGAAATGCAAATGATTAAAAAGAACTTATAAAGTGTCCAGCGCTTGTGCATTTGTTATGGTAAGACAGCAAAACATTTCAAAAGCTGATTTGTTGTATTTGGACAATTAAAGTTAGATTTTATTCCCCTAGGCCAGAACATATAGCAAACTACAGATAGGTAGGCACGGAAAGAGAATATAGCAAATATGTCTTCATAGCTCCCAAGCAACATCTCTGCAGTAAGCAATGGAAGAGGGAACAGATAAGAAGGCTGCACCCACACTGCCCCACCCTAGAAGAACAGCTACAACTTATGTGCTAATCTGACCAGCTTGTGTGGGCCAGGAAACCCCGAACCATTCATAACTACAGCAGACCATGAAGGGCTCTGGCTCCCAATTTCCCCTTCTCTGGGAAGCTGTCCTGGCAGATGGGAATCCATTCCTGAAAGTAGTTATTTTCTCATGCCTCTTGACTTGTAAGTCACCACTGTCCTTTCCCTGTGCAGCAGAAAATGAAATCTGTCTGTATTGGTGTTTCTTCACCTGCCAGTTATTCATGGGAATTTTTCTCCTTTCCTTGCAGTTGGACTTGGGAATTTGGAGCAACCTGCAATATCGGTTTCCAGAACAAAAGATGAGTGTCCAAATATCCTGTAAGGCTTCCATCAATAGCGTTAAAAGTGTAGACATACCCTGGTACAGGAAGAAACCCAATCAAGGTTTAGAGTTTCTATTATATGTCATGGCAACTCCTACCCATAGTTTTTTTAGATGAAAAGTACAAAAAGATGGAGACAAGTTAAAAACTCTAGTGCTTCCACGTCGACATTGATATATTCCTTGGAGGAAGATGATGAAGCTATCTACTACTGTTCCTATGGCTAAAGCACAGCATTTGAGCTTCCAGAAAAACTATCCCCAGTCATGTGCTCCAACTCACATCCCCCTCAGCATGGGCAACCACCTGCTGTTCAGCAGTGAGCAGGGGTAGGGTGGGGTTGGGGGTGTGGGGTGGGGGACACCGCTCAGAACTTCACCTCCTCCCAACACTTCCCCAGCTTTCTACTCAACAATGTGAATTCTCCTATCCAAGTGAATCCCCAGGGACTCTATTGCCATCAAAGGCTGGCTCAACATTGTTTACTACTAAATGAGAATATTTGGGAACAATTCAATATGGGATGGCAGATTCATAGCATGGCTTGGTTCTATTTTTAACTGTGTGGAAGTTTCCCATAACTGAATTTATAAGGAAAACAAGACAGAGTTAGTGTCAAAAGATGGGTACAACTATTTCAGAGATACTTCATGTTATGGCTATTTCCCAATTTTATTCATGTGCAACAGAGGCTTTCAGAGGTTGGAAAGTCTATCAAATGTAATAATTGGATGCCTGCTATCAGTATCTTAAGGTCTTCCTGAAAAATATATAGTGACCACTATGGCTATAAGAGACAATCATCTCCTTCTAGATATGTGTGATAGATTCAGAATGTTGAAAGAATACATGCATTTGATGATGAATTATTTATATAATATAATCATGTGCATGATACACTTGGAACTTTTTTCTATTCATGTTTTCAAATGCATTCATGTTTCTACTCTATAGTTCTAAGGACAAAATCAAAACATGATAAAATGATGTGAGCATTACAACAATGACAGTCACTGAACTGTAGAAGAGACATATACCATGTCTCTGCCTATAAAGGTTGATCGAGGTATAGCTTCCAATTACTGATACCCTAAAGATGAAGTTGCAGTGAGCAGCCAAGGGGAGTAGTTATAACTGATGCTTATACAGACTAAGGTTGTTACTACTTGGCTATTTAAAAAATATGTTTGTTACATATGAGTCTATAGTTCAATTGGTAAGAGTAGTTGTCCAGTGCAAGACCCTGGATTCCTTCCCAGGCACTGTATAAACCAGGCGTGATGGCTCCCAAACCTATAATCTCAGCACCTGGATTGCATCAAGCCTGTCTAGAAATAAACAAATAAGTAAATAAATACAATAGATTTGTCCAAATGAATGAAACGTACAATGGTTATTTTAATTTATGTTTCTCTGTCATTCTCTTAATGGCCCTTTGCTATATTTCCAACATTCCCATATTAGTTGTTCAACTTTGGTTAAGTTACTTCACCTATCTTTGACCAATTCTCTTAACTTCAAATGGATAACATCATAAAATTGACTTGAATGAACTGTTGCAAGAACCGTCTCAAATGATACACAAAAGTTTTATAAGATCATAGGCCTTGAGTGTACATAATGTCCACTAATAGGAGCTGACCAAATTGGTGATACTGTTTATCAAAAATGTAATTGTGATTGCTTTAATTTATATCCTAAATTGTTGGCATCAGCAGCGTATAATTCCAAGGACTGGGTTGGCCATAAAAAAAAAAATCAAGTGTCAGTTTAGGGTTACTGAATCTGAATCTCATTTCCCAAGAATCTGGGTCCCTTCTGGATACTTAAAATCTGAGCCACAGAGATCCAGATGCTAGGCTATTCAAGAGATGAAGCCACAGCCTAGAACAACTAGAATCTCATCCCATTTGCATCCAGAAGCTGGTCTGATGTCTTCTTTGATTCCTTGATATAAGTAGTGGGTTGCTACTTCATTACTCTGTAGCCAAATGCACAGCAACTTAACAACCAATGTATGAACAACATAGTTTGCTACCCACATATATGTATTCTTTATAAAATGCATTAGAAAATAAGTGCAAATTTTCAGTAGCTACTTTATTTCTCAGAAATAAGTTTTCTTCACTAACATTTTTTGAGTTTCTTATTCACAGTAAATCCACAAGATTAATTTCTGCTTTGAGCAAAAAATGCTTGTTCTCTTATCATTAGCTTCATAGTGCTAATGAAAAACAGCAGGGACCTGGGGAATTGAGTAAAATAACATTTCCATTGTTACCACCTGATTGCATCCCAAGTCTCTAAGGAGGAGGCTCTGGACCCACAACTACACCCTCTGAAGAGGCACATTCCAGAGAGAGACTGTGTTACAGCCAGCTCAGGTGCCTTGGTCAGCATTCATATTTTCCCCAAAGAGTGTTGGGATTAGGTAATTTTCCCAGGAGGCCTCTGGGTTTATGCATATGAACCTTACCATGTGACTATGCTGCCCAGCACCACCCGCTCATGGTGCAAAGATGAATGCTTTATCTTCTCCTTTTGTGCTTTTTAATAATCACTATCAAACATGCACTCATTTATAATAGGAAATAATAGGCCTCCTTAAAGGTTATACTTAGTCCAGGGAGATAGCAGCTCTAACATGCCTGTTTAACTGCCACATTCAAAAGAAGAAATAGAAAGGCATTTCCTTTGTCTATATTACTTAGGAGACCTGTATTCAAAACTGCTAGACACAAGGTTATAATGAGCAATGAACAGCTCCCCATGATGTTACTTCCCTCCCCTCCCCTCCCCCTTCCCCTCCTGTCCTCTTTCCTCTCCTCTTCTCTCCTGCCTTCCCTTACCCTCTTTTCTTCACCACCTTCTGTTTTACTTGTCCCCGCCTCTCTTTCCCCCTCCTTCCTTTTTCTCTCTCTACTTTGTCTGTCTCCCTCTTAGTCATCACTGTCTGTCTGTATTTTAGGAGTAAGCTAATAAAGACAATCATTTCTGGTCAGAAAACAACCAAAAGTTCTCTTATACATGCAATTTAAAAGTGTCAACCTGAAATTAAAGTCATGATTCACAGGACTTGAGAAAGGTGGAGAGTGAACACTACACAGGTGTAATATTTCCACACTCCATAGATATTTACAATTGAGGCATGTTTATAGTACAAGAAATTGTTTCTCCAAATTGACAGTTTGATAAATGTCTTTCGTATGAACAATAGAGAAACCTGTTAACCAGTGGGTCAGTAAACCAATTTCCACAGGAAATCTTGATGAAACACTAAGCCCCCCTTTTCTGTCCCCAGAATGCCACTTCCTCTTCCTGCACTAGTCTCTTTTATTCTGACCCTGAGTAGCCTTAGTGTTCGGTGCCTACTCAGGACAAAGGCTGCAGAATGTGGCTCCTGCTGCCAATCTTCAAGCTGGCCTCCCTCATGACTTGTAAGTAAGATGTCTTTTGCTCTCAGGAATGGAGGATAAAGAAAACAGGGACAGTCAGGTCACAGCACATTTACAAGGTCATGTTGAGCTGACAAATTTCACTGTGATCATGAATCCCTCAAGGCACATGCAGGGTGGGGGTGATCCCACAAAATCCAGACACTGATTTGAATTGGACTCGACACCAAACGTGTATTATCTCAATGAAATTCAAAATCACAATTTTGAAACTTTTTTAAAGTTTTAGCTTTTGTTCTCTTTCATATACAGGCAGAAGCAGTCCCACTTAGCATCTGATGCCATATATCACCAAGAAAAAAATGAAATATAGCATTTTTTGAATGACAAATAAAAACAAGTGTTCTAAAGCATAATACATATATACACTGGTACCAACAGAAGCCAGGCAGGCCTCTAAAAAGAATGTTATATGTTGCTTCAAGAGAAAATACTGTCTATGAGGAAGGTTTTTGTCTATGTGGAAGGATACGAGGCAAAGAAATGGCAAAGTGACTTGTCTTCAATTCTCAGAATACAACAAGTGACAGAAGAGGACACAGGGATATATTACTGTGCATGCTGGGATGCACTCTATCAAGATGTTGCACTGTTAACAAAACCTCTCCACAGGAGGTTTGCCTACACAGACCACATGTCTCCCCTTACACCTCCCACAGGAGCTAGACCACTACCACTCAACACATGCCATCCAGGCTGATTCTACTTGTACATTAAATCTCTTCTTTCTCACCAACCCCAGAAACATATGACTGAGATTACCAAACATTCTTATGCTGTATTTGTGTCCTGAGTTTGATCTCATCAGAAGCCTAAGGGCAGTGAAGTGTCTCCTTCACCAGAACCCATAATCTCTTCTCATCCCATCCCTGGACCACCTTTCATCATTGTCCGTGCTGGTTTCTGCTTCCCTAACTATGGAAAGCTTCCTGGGAAGGAGGTCAAAGTACAGTGCTCAAGAAAGCATGTAGACTTTGTGAATGAGAGAGTGAGTCCAAGGACTTTTGAAAGAGATAGGTCTGGATTTCCTTTCCTACTCAGTCGCTCACTGAGCTTCTCAGCTCAAAGCTACAGTGCTAATAAGTGCACAGGACACTGAGGACTTCCTGAAGTTTCATTTAAAATGTCCAGCATTGTGATCAGACAATCTAAGTCTTTTCATATTACAATGCAGCCACTTCAATGAGCTATCTCAGCTCAAGTGAGAATGCTCTAATCTCAGCAAAGCATGTCATTCATGTTCTCCCAACAAAATTAAGGCACCGCTGTAATTCTGAAAGGTTAATTGCTAATGGGTCAAAAAAAAAATGATGTTTTTTTCCTGAACAGGACTTCATTCACTATAGAATATTATTGCTTTGTGTCTTTCATTACACTGTTGTTAACATAAAGTCATTGAGTCAAAATAGACCACTAGTGCATTAATTTGGCACACACAAAAGACTGACTGGCCCACAAGACCATTCACAGTTACCCACCGTATTTTCATAAAAGGAAAATAGTTTAAAACCTAGAGAGTGAAAAAGGTGCCAAGGAGAGGTACCACTGGAATAATACTTAATGACAACAGGAGTAGGGGTTTGGGGAATAGCTCCCAATAAGAAAGGTAATATTGCTATTGTAACAGGTGTTTTGATGACATCTTCTGGTACTTGATAGATCTTTTGCACCAAGAACATGATAAAATGACACATGTCACCGGGCAGAACTTTCATTAGCTCAGAAAGAAGTCTTGCCCCTCCTCCCCTGTCCCTTTTTTGCAGAGATATG